ATAAAAAAAATTGTTCGTACTTTAACGCTGATCAAATTAACACCGCATTCGTTGGCAATCGCTTTGGCCAGCAACGTTTTCCCTGTTCCCGGCATGCCGTATAATAAAATGCCATTTTGCAGTTTGATAGGAGCATTCTTGAATATCTCAGGATATTTCAACGGCCACTGTAAAATCTCTACCAGAGATCTTTTCACGTCGGCCAGACCACCAATATCTGACCAAACGTGACCCATGCCTTTGTACAATTGCACGTCTTGTAGAGACATCGGCGTGTAATTCTTCAGGGCGACCTCCATGTCCTCTTCTTCGATCACGATGGGAGGCTTAGAGGAATCTTATAAAAATTATTTTTAATATTAAAAATTACATCGTTGAAAAAAAAAATTAATAAGAAAAAAATACACGATTCAAGAAGATATGTATTTTTTATTTGTTTACAATAAATCTTTTTTATTATTTCTTTGTGTGCGAAGCATATATTATAAAAGAAAAAGTATCAAAAGCACTTTTGCAAACATTTTCTTTTTATAATTTCGTAGCTCGCTGTAGAAGCATTGAAATTTAGTACATGTAATTATAGTAGATTTTATTACCGTGACGCTTCCAAGCAGCGAACGTAGCTTTCTTAGCCATATCCACGAGGTCTTGAAACACCCACCCCTCGGTCTTGTTTCCATAGTAATCCCAATTCACGTCTCCAGGCGTGTACAACTTATCTCCGAGCATTAATTGCAAAATATTGATTCTATCCACCTAATTGAGTAATACACAATTGTTATAATTGTTATATTAAAAACAATCTCATTTATTAAATTCGATGATTTTCTAACAGAGCGATAAATCTAAGATAAATCTTAAACGTTGCGTATTTTCTTTTCTTCTTCAAATTACAACTATCTATTAAAAGTCATAAGTTTCTGTGTGTGATCATGTTATATAATTTATCGATTTAATTATTTAATCATTTTTTACATATATGAAAATTTAATTTTTTCACAAAAAATTATGGATAAAAAAAGCAATCGAAAAAAAAAATACCTTTTCTAGATTAGGAATAGATAAAACAGTCCTAAAAAAATGACAACCCCTAGCCGGCCTTAATTTCTGACCTATCCTGTTAATACTTGCACACGTCGCAATTATTGACACTTGATACGATTCTTGATATTGCATCACCGTGTTATTCAACATATCTGTTATCCTGACAACAAGAAATTTATATTGATTTTTTTAACTTTATCTAAAAGATAAAAGAAAGAAAGAAAAAAAGAAAAATACCTGGCAGCGTTTATAGCATCTGGTGTGTTCTCTTCGTCGTTCATTGATGCATTCGTTATGGCTTCTATATCGTCAAGAAATATTATCGAAGGTTGATAATAGACACATTCGGACAGAACAGCCATAATAATTTTTTGTAACATTTCTACTTTCTTCCCTATTTTATTATTATTAAAAAAATTAACATTACTTAAATATTCTTTATAAAAATCATTTATGATTTTGCGTTAAATAATTTACCTTTTAACGATCTACAATCAATCGTGTGAGTGTGCACGAAATATGGTGGACTTCGTATAATGTCCTCGATTATTTTGCAAATGGCAGTTTTGCCCGAACCAACCACGCCAGAAATTAAAATATTTTCAGGATTGTATTCGAAAGGTAATTGTGTTTGTAAGCCTAGACTGAGATCTAATGCTAGTTGACATTCCGTTAAAACTGTCGTCAAGTGACTGAAACAAAAAAAATAATATTTCTATCAGAAAATACAAAAAATATTAAAATAGAAAGAGATCTAGAATTTAAACTTTTAAATGGAAAGTACAGTTGAAATAACTTGTACAATTATATTTTTCTTTGCACGAAGAACAATATTCATAATTGTATTCCTATAATTGTGTATGCACATGATTGTAATAATTATATTTCTTTGCCCTAAAACTTTAATATTTTCGCTAATGATCATTTTTATAACTTTGTCATTTCAAAAGTATTTATTATATCATCTCTGGACAAACACTTTTCAAATTCCATCTCTCTTTATTAAACGATCCCTCCTTGTTGACAATTTTCTATTGATAAAATTATTACTATTTAAAATTTATCATGGAACAAGACACATACAAAGAAAATTACCTCGTATACGTTTTTTCTAAACGAGAATATTCTTGATCCAACTTGTCAAACACTCGAAACTGATCCTTTTCCTCCACCGATCTCACACGCACCCTCGTATCCCTTAAAGTGGCCTCGTCGATCACGGCAAACTTGCAATCCTCCGGTAAAATTTTCACTATACAAGAACTTCTGTTATCCATTATAATAACAGCACAAGAGTTAATCAACAATTTATTATGAAGGGAATACTTTTTAACGTAATCCTCGAAATCTTTCACCGACATCGAATCTCTCCACGAAAATAGTTCAAGGGAGGACGGTACAGATATTTCAGTTTTATCCATCAACGTTAAGCTCACCTTTGCGCCTACTTTTAAGTTCAAACTGATTCTCAAACTGTCCGACACGTACACGCTCTTGTGACGTAAATTAACGTTAAAATGTTCCTCGTTCAACGTGCTGGTTTTCTCTAACAAATCCTCCAAAGTGTATACCCTCACTACCAATTCTGCAGAAAGATTTGGAACAGGGGACTTGTCTTTTACAAGAAAATTCGTGTTGGTTACGTTCACGTATTGCTTGTCCTCTGGAACTTTTTTTATACGAGCTATCGCAAAATTTTCCAAGAATTCTGGCGCTTGATCACTTGGAATGAACACGTGATAAGGACAATGCGCAATCTCATCGAAGATATTTCCTTCGATCGTATCCATTTTAGGCATTGGATGGACACGACATATCGTAGGTAATTTTCTGTTGCGAAAACTATGCAACAGTTCGTAATTTCTGATCGCTTCATCTTCCCTTTTCTTGATCGAATTTCGATTATTCGTAATTGGTAAAAATTTTTTGAAAGCCGAAAGCAAATTGTTCGCGATGTGGGATGTTTTCTTGCCATTTTCATTCGAATCGTCGTTCTTTTTATTCATTGTTGTATTGGCAACGTGTATTTCCGAAAATTGTTCGAGTTTGCCATATTTCACTGGTGGTTCCAGCGATTCTGTAAAGAAGAAACGATGGTATTCGATTTTTTTTTTTTTTTT